CCCCCCCCTCCCCCCCGGCTTAGGCCGCTTCGTTTCTTCTGGTGACTTAGCAAGATACCGGGGAGGAGGCGATGGGCCCGGCAGAAAAAAAAAGAAAGGCCCCTAGGGCGGGGGCCCTCGCTTGGGGGTACCTGAGAGGACACCGAGCATCCCTGCTCCGGGTCTCCCGTCGAGGCTTCCCTTCTGTTCTTCTCGTCTCCCCTGCCCTCTCGGGGGGCAAGGCGGTTGCTTTTGAGGAGATGGCCCAGATCTCCAGAATCAGCTGCAGCACGGAAAACAAAACAAGAATTGAAGAAAGGCCCCTAGGGCGGGGGCCCTCGCTTGGGGGTACCTGAGAGGACACCGAGCATCCCTGCTCCGGGTCTCCCGTCGAGGCTTCCCTTCTGTTCTTCTCGTCTCCCCTGCCCTCTCGGGGGGCAAGGCGGTTGCTTTTGAGGAGATGGCCCAGATCTCCAGAATCAGCTGCAGCACGGAAAACAAAACAAGAATTGGTACTGCAGGGGAAAGCAGCCGATGTTATTTTAAAAACGGGTTTCCCATCCACCCTGTTTTCCTGCAGTGATCTAGCAGGGGGAGCGCTGATAGGAGGTGGCTCAGACCTTCAGAACCAGCTGCAGTGAAAACGGGGGAGGGAGGTCTAATCTCTCCTTCTCGGGGTCATATCGCTGCCTGGTTGTCCACGGTCGCGCAGAGTTTCCCTGAAAACCTTTTAATAGCATTGAGTTTCCTAAAATGCTCTCTTTCTTGCTACCTTTGAGTGTTTGTTTAGGCAGGAGGTTATATGCAGACAGGGCTTTCGATGGAAGGGGGGGGTGGGAGTGGTGCCTCCCATAGAAAGTTTAGGATTACTCAGTTCTGTGGGTGTGAGATTTCTTTTTGTTGTGGCTGTTTAGGGTGGACGTAATTAAATTTGACCTTTAATACCAGTAAAAATGTGACATCTTCCCTTTCTTTGCCATAATATCACTGGTAAAATTTCTCTGCTGATAATGCTGCAGCAGAGGGCTTGGTTGTTGCAGGTCAAGTCAATTCATAATGAATTACCTAACCAGGGGATGGTGAAAGGTTATTGAAGCTATATTAAAAATATTCAGTAAATGCTATTTTACTGTAAATAAATGTTTGGACATATTGACCTGGTTGAATTATATTTTTATGTGGGGTTTCTTTAAATGTATATTCTTATGACAATATTATTTATATAGTATTGGATGGGGGGGTGTTAAAGAACCTATATTCAGTAATGATCACTTAATAAATGATTGTGCAGCGTTCAGCTGGCTTTTGGAAGAGGGAGGGTCTCCTTCCAAAATGCTATTTGCCCTTCGAGTCATTTTGGAAAATAATAGGAAAATTCTGTTCGGGGAACTAAACAAAGAAAATATTTTTAAACAGAAAGATTTGTTGCAAATTTCTAGCTTATTTTCTGGGATCTCATTTTTCTATGTTTCTTTTGATTTGACCATGTTTATGGATGCTGTGTGCAGCCATTGAGCAGAGAAGAGACTGGGTGGAGTAAGGAGGCAAAGCTGCGAAACGGCTAGATTACCCTTTCATAGCTTTTTTTTTTTTTCTTTCTCTCTCTTTTCCTTTGCTTGCGTTTTGCTGGGGTGGAGGAATACTAATTGCTGTAACAATGAAGTCTCTTCTTTAGGGAAGAATCTAATGGTGCAGGAACCTTCTGAAATGAAACAAATCTAGCATTCTGCTTTGAAGCTTATTTTTCTGCAGAGTGGATCTTGATTTGTCTGACAGTGCAAAGTGACCAGTCACTGTTGGAAAGCAAGATTTTTTTTTTGTCTGTTTGTCCATTTCAATGAATTGACTTAGATATTCACTTGTTGAATTTTTTTTATTTACACTTTAGATGAAGATTATGTTTTTACAGTTTTTTACATACCAGACTATCTGAAATGTAGACAATTCTTATAATGTTGTGTAGTGCTATATTATTTGTTCATATAACTTCTTGATTAAACCATGTTATGGTTGGATGTAAAAAAAAAAAAAATTACGTCCCTGCTTTCTCTAGTGCCCCCAGTAGGGTAACTCCTATTAGTATACACACTTAATTGTATTACCCTTCTTCATGTCCTGAGTTCAATAATACCTCATGGTTTTGGGAGCCCTTTTGAAAGGTATGACTCTGTAAGAATCTCACTGTATCACTCGATTACTGCTGCATCATGGGGGTAATACTAATGCCTAGACTTAAAGTTGTATAGGAAGGCATTAGAACAAAGGATTTGGGGAATACAATAGGGATCAAATGAAGCACCTACGAAAGACTGCTTTTAGAAGTACTCTCCAGTTCTAGAGGTGGCTAATGGTATTCCCACCTGAATTCAGTGTTGGTCAGAGCAAGTATAACGCTGAACATGAGCAGTTCTGAAGGAGAGTGATACTGTGGTTTTTTTTTTTTTTTGAGTCTTTCTCAGTTTTAGAGTCTAATCTAGTTTTTGATGGTAGATGCACATAGATGACACTGCTTCTGGGGTTAATTTGCTCTGAATTCAGTTAAAGGATAGTGGCTTTTTTATGGGATGTAGCTCATTTACTAGGGGAGTAGAAGTTGTAGGATCAGATGTATGCATTCGCTAAATGCCTATGTCTAAAAAAGAATACCGGATGAGAGCAGTGATGAATCCAATATAATGCCTTCTTGTAACTTACATTTTTTTGCCTTGAAATGATGGAAGTTGCTTTCTTGTATAGGAGTAACTTGTTAATTTCTGTGCTACAGAAGAAAGACATTAATACTTACCTTTATGACTCTGTGCAAGGTCTGTCTTGCATATATTGCTGATGCTTCTTCCTATACTGTTTCCTATGCTCCATCCA